TACAACTCTTTTGCTTTAGACCATCTACAAATGTTAAATATTCAATAAAAAGGATTGCTTTACAGTTATTTTCAAAGCTTTCAATGTACTCTCGTTATAAAAGAACGTCATTGTTTTATTTAATTCTCAAAAGTACGTTTTTGTTAAAAACTAACCAAAATGAAAAATAATTTGTTTATAATCTCTGTACAGGAGAGACTTGGTGTTGTTTCCAAACAAAAGGAAATATATCGGTATCAGCTATCGGCCAAAATATCGGCATATTGGATATCGGCAAAATCCAATATCATGCATCCCTACTTAAAACCATTTTTTGTTGGTGAAAATACTAATGGCCTAAGACTTTTGCACAGTATGTTTGTGTTTACTGAGCTCCCCATCACCGATATATCTGTGCACTGAAATAGCATGGCTACAAAGTAGCAGTTTTTCCAAATATAACACTTTCAAATAGTAAAAGAAGAGTCTAATTCATAAATAAACATACCTTATAGATGTATTAAGCTCCTCAATCTCCTCTCGTAGTCTCTTAGTCTCTTCCTGCATCTGTTGTCTCTCTAGTTGCAGTTTGCTAATGTAGTCAACTGTCTTCTGAAGTGTCGCAGCATTACTGATCTGGAAACCCAATAATGGGTGACGGAAAATAATTAATTTTCACTATTTAAAGTACTTGCAGAGACAACTACAAGTACGAATCAAGATGTGATTTTGAGAATCGAGTAAGGAAAGCCAAAAGCAGATTTACGTTTGATTGAGACCTGAGAGTCGGCACGAGATTGCACAACGTCTTGAAGCAGGCATTGATGGTGAATCGCCTCTTCTGCTCGGCAGATATGTGATTCACTCTGCGGCTCTGCGTCAAATCACAGGACAAAATTACAAACAGAGACAGACTGATAAATTAGCAGATATCTGGATATTTCAACATTAAAATTAGTGATAACCTTGCTCGGTTGGCCTAGTTCCCCCTTATGTCAGTTCCCAAATTAAACAGCAGTCAATAGACAAAACAAAAACAAATGTGAATCCAGTAAATATTCAGTAAAACTAGTGTTCATTCAATATAAACAATTTTCTGCACACCTCATATTCCATCATTATATTGACTCATAATTAGGGCTGCCAAGTGATTACCATTTTTAATCGAATCAACTAAATGATTAATCAAATTAATCGTACATCAATTTGAGCTGAGAATTTACCCCCTACAAAAAGATCATTTAAAGTCATTATTGTGTTAAATGAGAACAGAAAAGCTTTAGAAATATATATTTCATTCAATACAGAATGTATTACACATAAACTCTTAAGGCTACAATGTGGCCATAACACTGTTTTCAGAAACTGCATCTGAAGTGTATTTACACAGACTGTTCGAAGGTGGCATGAATGCATTTACACTGCAATAAGAGCTGCATAATTAATGCAATGAGACGGAAAACATTTAATTAAAAAAAAAACAATAATTCTTTTAATACGAAACTAAAACCACCAGTAAATGAGTTCATTGAACCGATTCAATTAAATGACCAGTTCATTCAGAAATGAAGCAACTGACTCTCTCTACAAATGGCTCACTGAATCACTGAATCGTTCGTTCAAAGACGTGGATTCAATCAGTGCTTTGTGTTGCTCAGGAAAGGCCTATCTGTTCTGCTGTGGCTTTGTTCGGGACAATATTTCTTGGTGAAATTGTCAAAAACAGACAATACTGTCTATGAAATGTAACACAATATTCACTTCCTGCTTATTGAACTATTGTATGAAATCAATATCACATTTGCAATCATGCAGATACTCTCTCTTGTGTGGTATTAATAAACTACATCATACGATATAAATATATAACAAAGAAAACCATACAGAAGCATTTTTGCCCTCAAATCTTAAAACTGCATTCTCACAGGCTCCATAACACAGTCAGTCGTCATCCAGCGTTAATCATTTGCATGTGTTATTTTTTCCATAAATTACCACTGGACCATTAATTGCAATAATGATAAAATACATAATTTTGTGCAATAATTTAATGTGCAAATAAATGTTTACATTTGCACTCAGCTTTGAAAGATGTAAATTAACCCTTTGCATTTGCTGAATCGACATCGGTTTGGAAAACCATGTTAGAGTGTAATATCATGAACTATACCTGACTGGCTTCATTTTTGCCTGAGCAGGGGTTGAGGGGTGACTGGGGGCTCGGGACTTGCTCTGCTCCCAGAGGCGACCCTTGACCTGAGACTCGTCCGTCATGTGCTAAAGAAACAGAGAAAAGAAGCTTTCTCAGGAATCCTCAAGTCAGTGAAACACGATAAAGACAAAGGGGATCGGGCTGAATTGAACCTGTACTTGCTGACTGTACGGATGTCTTGTTGTTGGATATAGTTGTGGCAGTTTCCTCTTTGGGTACGATTAGTTGTGGCGACTTCTGTGTCTGAGGGAGAATATGAAAACCAGCGGAACCCTGCAAGGCAGTGCGATTTCTTTTTATATTGTAATTATGCATTGCTTGGGGTAAAGTGAATTATTGTTTACCAGGGTTGAGCAGAATTCAAAATGTAAGAGTTGACTCCTATTTCATTTATGAATCAGAAACTGAACAGACCACACTCCAAACAGAATGGTGGAATTATAGAAATTTACTGAATTGCAATTCAATTAAATTGTACATGCGCACTATAGAAAAATGGGCATGAAAACGTTTTCCCAAGAAGCTGCTTGTTTAGCAGTTTTCTTTCTAATTGAACTAGGAAATTAGGACGGGGCATTTAAAAAAAAAAAGTTAGTCTATTTTATATTACAAAAAAAACAAACTGGCCCTTAGTTTACATCATAGCCATGCACCCTGATTTACTAATTATTTAGTAAATAAGATGCAATAAATTGATCAAAACTTACATTAAAGCATTTATAATGTTGCAAAATATTTTGATTTCAAACAATTTTGTTCTTTTGAACCGTCTAATTATTAAAGAACTCAGAAAAAATGTATAATTTCATTGTATCGTATCGTATCGTTTCCACATTATGTTACGCAGCACAAATACTGTGCAGCACAACTGTTTTCAACATTGATAATAATCAGAAATGTTTCTCAAGCAGCAAAGCAGCATATTAGACTGATTTCTGAAGATCGTGTGACTCTGAAGACTGGAGTAATGATGCTGAAAATACAGCTGCGCATCACAGAAATACATTACATCCTACTATATATTCACATAGAAAATAGCTGTTTTAAATTGTAATAATATTTCACAATTTTTACTAAACTTTTGATCAAATAAATGCAGCCTTGCGGAGCATAAAAGAAAAAAAAGCATGAAATAAAAACCTTACAGACCCCAAACTTTTGAACAGCAGTGCATTATATTAATTCTAATTTGAATTACAATTCAGCATTCTTTCTGCTACCTCGCTTCGAATTTAGGAATGTATCTGGAATTCAAACATTTCTCTCAAATCAGTTCTGAATGGTACACAACCCTGTTCTACAGACGGCGAGGATAGGACGATGAAAGGCTTACACAGGGAATACTGGAGGGGGCAATGACCATACCAGTGCTGGGGACAACATCAGCGCTGAGAGGGGACTGAGTGACAATCACAGCACTGGAGGGACCTGGGAATGGTTATGATGGGAGACGGATAGGATGAGAACACATTTAAAGCCTACTGCAGTTTTCTGCATGATGTTTGGAGATCCATTCTAGTTCCACTATTAGATGAACTTGTACCTCTGAGCATAAAAGAAAAAAAAAGCATGAAATAAAAACCTTACAGACCCCAAACTTTTAAACAGCAGTGCATTATATTAATTCTAATTTGAATTACAATTCAGCATTCTTTCTGCTACCTCGCTTCGAATTTAGGAATGTATCTGGAATTCAAACATTTCTCTCAAATCAGTTCTGAATGGTACACAACCCTGTTCTACAGACGGCGAGGATAGGACGATGAAAGGCTTACACAGGGAATACTGGAGGGGGCAATGACCATACCAGTGCTGGGGACAACATCAGCGCTGAGAGGGGACTGAGTGACAATCACAGCACTGGAGGGACCTGGGAATGGTTATGATGGGAGACGGATAGGATGAGAACACATTTAAAGCCTACTGCAGTTTTCTGCATGATGTTTGGAGATCCATTCTAGTTCCACTATTAGATGAACTTGTACCTCAGTGGCTTGTGTTGCTGTGTGTCGTACTTAGGACTACCAAACAGGGTAATTAATCTTAATTTAAGCATTAACAAATAAAAGTTTGTGCAGCTATTAGGTTCTGCAGGTTGTGTGGATGACACTCTCAGCTTAATTAAAGCGACAGGGCTCTGCACTGCTTCACTCACACAAAAGATGCTGCCATTCTCAAACTGCATACGAAACACAGAAGGTAACACACACACACACTTTATGCAAACAACCTTGCGTGTGCAAAGACGCTGCAGACGTTGCTTTTCTATGAACGAATGCGTTTCGCTTATTTCGTCTGTTGAGCAAAGACGATATTCAATTTCTCCATTTTAAAAAAAAAAGACTTTTGTGATTGACTTGCTAGACTTCTCCTTATGGATTTAATTCAGAAATAAATGACCGATAGCGAGAGGTATAAAAAAACAAATAAAAACTGCAGGAATAGAGGGTCTGTCATCTTATGGCACCTTGCACATGTCCAGTGTAAGAAAAAAAGATAGTCATTTTAACAGTAAAAGACTACAAAAAAGGCTAGAGTAAAAATCTGTTCATTGGTAGGTAAGTTTCCTTACTCTACATGGTGAAAACTAATACATCTCAGACATTGCATGTCATTTTACGGTAAAATACTCTTAAATGTATAGTTTTTGAAGTAAAGAGAACACCTCATAGAAGTCGTTTTATATAAAACTGTAAAATTACATGAATTCTCTATGGTAGCTCACATCTGATGGCTTATCATTGAAATAATTGTTTCTTAGTTTTTTTTTTCTAATCAGTTATATGCCCATTAGGCTTTTATGTACCTTATGTTGTTAAATTAACGTTCACTGCATTGTTTTAGTGCGGTGTGCATTACCGTGATGGTGTTTTTTGTGTGCGTATGACACTGGGTTCCTTCTAAATATTAGTATTCACCTCAGCTTGTGGAAAAGCTACTTGTGATGAACTCTTGTAAATCTTAGACAACTATTATATGGAAGAGGTATTTCTACTTAAAAAAGCAAAACGATGATGGGTGCGGTGGACAAGTAATGTGATTAGGGGTGCAACGGATCACGAAACTCACGGTTCGGATCGTTTTGCGGTTTGAGTCTTTTTTCGGATCAGCAAACAAGCAAACAAAAAAATTCCAAAACGGTTTAGTGGGGTGAAATAAAAGTAACTTTGCTTTCCACTTATTACTTAAAGAGCACCAAGTACTTCTTCGATACCACAGCAGAAACTACTGGCCTAGCAGTGAACAGTTTGATCAGTAACAAAACAGGAACAAACATAATAGATAAATACAACAGAACAAATTACGATTAAAATACGGTCTAACAGTAGCATTCAAGTACAGAAATGTAATAATTAAGTGCAAAATAACACTGCATAGTGTTCACTGTATTAATTTAATATAGATTAATCTTTGTTTTTGTTGTTTAACATAAATGATAAGACTGCAGCAGCCATTTATAGACTGATACACATCCGATTTCTGTGTGCTTACGTTCATTTAAGACATTACAGTCTGTTTACGAGGATACATGATCATTTTGAGTCTGTTCAAGCAGAAGGAGATGAGAAAGAGAACCGAATTCTGTGTTTGCACACTGTCTGATGCAGTTTGTGCGCAATTACCGAAACAATTAGCCTCTTTTTGCACTTGAATGGTTTAAAATCACTTGGATGTTTAAATTGGCAAGACTTAAAAACAAATGCAAACGATAAACTTTTACTCTGAGATGGTTAAACATGCGTGCAAACGGCGATCCGTAACGGCCCTAAATGTAATCGATGTATGGCGCGAACACCAGTAACACTGACTACCGCCTAAGCCTAGTGAATTATAAATGTAAAAAAACAGATCGAAGCATTTTGGTATATTAACATATTTTTAGATAACCGTTTTCAACCTGTAAAACGCACATTTACCATTTACATTTGTTAAAACTGAAAATGCTGCTACCGTACTTTTTACAGTAAGGTTCTAGTGGCAACCACAGCTGCCTCTTGTTTTCTTTCTTTTTTACAGTGCAGCGTGAGTATGTTAGAAAGCCTGCTTTGAGGAGAGGCACAAACCTGTGAGTATGAGCTGAGGAGATGGCAGCGGGACAATCTGTCTCTGTGGATGTCTGGCCTTTTTGCTAGAGACAGGAGGCAGAATGGATTTGGGCAAGGCGAAGTTGACCGGCTGTGAGCTGAGTGACGCGGAGACCGCAGGCTGTGGAGACGGTGCGGTGGGCAGCTCAAAGCTTGATCTGTGACTGAAGGTGGTGGCTGCATCAGAGGGAGTTACTGTGGAAGGGGCAGCGTGCGTGATCACGGACGGAGCCGGGACGCTCGAGACTGTAGTGACGGTGGAAACACCTCCACACTGGAGAGGCTGTGGGGCTGCTGGGACAGGAGGAGCTGGCGCTGGGATGGAGGGGGTCACTTGCTCTGGGAAAAGAGGCATGTAGGTTTGTTGGTAGGACGGGCCAACAGCGTTACCATTATCCTGACTGGCGACTGAGAGGTGGCTGGGCAAAGGAGCAGAAGGGATGAGACGGTAGTCCAGCGGCAGAGAGGGAAGCTCAGTGGAGAGCGGCATGGGAGCCTAACAAACAACAGACACCAAAATCAGCTCACTCTCACAGAGACAACAGACCTCTCTTGTGAGCACACCATTGTCTGGGACAAACAAACACTGCATCTCACAAGTAGGGATAAACCATTTGTGACCCTGGAGCACAAAACCAGTCACATGGGTCAATTTTATGAAATTGAGATATATACATCATCTGAAAGCTGAATAAATAAGCTTTCCATTGATGTATGGTTTGTTAGGCTAGGACCAATATTTGGCTGAGATACAACTATTTGAAAATCTGGAATCTGAGGGTGCAAAAAAATCTAAATATTGAGAAAATCATCTTTAAAGTTGTCCAAATGAAGTTCTTAGCAATGCATATTACTAATCAAACATTAAGTTTTGATATATTTACAGTAGGAGATTTACAAAATATCTTCATGGAACATGATCTTTACTTAATATCCTAATGATTTTTGGCATAAAAGAGAAATGTATAATTGTGACCCATACAATGTATTGTTGGCTATTGCTACAAATATCCCCCAGCGACTTAACACTGCTTTTGTGCTGCAGGGACACATATAGTTAATATCTGCAATATGTTTGCTATTATTTGTATGAACCGGTATAAGATATACAATACATTAATACTTAACACTATAAACCTTAAAGTCGCCCTGTAGTGAAAATCAACTTTTTTATGTTGTTTATTTGTCTATGTGGTGTTTTTAATATGCTTTTAGATAAACCATGTGCCAATCTATTAATCAACACCATTGCTGTGTATTTTCTCCTTAAAACTGTAGTTTCCCAAAGGCTGACCCAGAAATGCGGTTTGAAGCAGCCCTCGGTTTGCGACGTCACAAACCAATAACCAATCACGTCAAGGGATCGATTCCTATCACTAGCATGCAAAATATACCAATACCGGCACAAAACCAAAAATAAATTAGACCAAAAAACCCATGAGGACGTGGTTTAATGTGAATTTAGAACCGCTAACTTGCATTATAGCCCGCAGCAACAGTGTAAAAGTAGCCCGGAGTCAGACGCACTTCACACGCGTATGCTCGCGGGCGCGAATTAACAATCACAAACGGCTGCATTCCAGTCTTCAAGGCATTTTAGGACACAACATCGTCAAGTAAGTAACTTTAACGAATGTTACAGTATTCACTGTGATCAAATCTACTACAAGCCTTCTGTCATTTGATTGACAGTTCATAGCTTTTCAGCAAATTACAAGCCTTTTGGTATCACTGTAAAACTGTCCACCATCATGTCATGGTTCATGTGCTCCTCGCTAAGAGAACGTGTGAAAATGTCTTTATTGATCTGTAATCTATTGCTGCACTCATAATTCGTGTGAAAATTATTAAAAGTTGTTGGTGCTTTATTGCCGCTAGTGTGCATTTCAGTTGGAAACCGCAGTAAATGCATGTACATGCACACTTTTGGAGATTTGCAGAAATGTAAAGGCACGTTTTTCCAGTGAGCCTGCGGTGGATTTAATGCACTTTTTATTTGATCATTGGCCTTTTAAATAACTGCGCCAGTATGCTAGTTTTACGCTCCCTTCTTGCGTCACAACTTGTAGGCATGAAAGCGTTACAGATATTTTAATAGTGTCTACAATTTAAAAAAATTACTTTTACGTCATCAGTAATAATGGTTCATGCAAGTCCTCACTATAAAATGTTAATAATTTTAACAAAATAAGAGATCATAAAAATTGATTTTTATTATTATTTTTTATTTAGTGCTGCCCTGAATAAGCTATTTTACATAACAGATGTGTGCATATAGTCCACAAGACAAAATAAGTACTCAGTTTACACAAATGCTACAAAGTTAACATTCACTTGATTCTTAACACTGTGTCGTTAGCCGGATGATCAGTGGCTACGTTTCTGTGATAGTTCTTCATGAGTTGGGAGTAAACAAAATTTACATTTATGAACAACAGTAACATGTGCAAAAGTGTTATATAGAAAATAAACATTCTACTCTTATTAAATGTACCATTTTTCTACTATAGTATTACACTGAACTGACCGACAACTCGAAAAAAAGGTTTGTTTTCCAAGGCACTTTGTGACTTTTCTTATTTCATACACAAAAAGTGCAAAACTCTGACAAAATATGATTTTTTTGATGATTTGATATTTTATAATCGTGATTTTATAATTTCTAAATATAAAGCAAAAAGTAGAAATGAATGACTAATAAGACCATAAGGGCTCCTCTGCTGCCATCTACTGGTTATAGCGGTAATTTGATGTGTTTGTTTACCACAAAGTATATTTTGGCCATCCCGTTAAAAATAACATTTAAACTGGATCATTTTTAGAGTGCTGGAAATGGAAAAAATGGTCACAGTCTGGAGCCCTGAATAAACGTTTTGAACAGCTATCATATGTCAAGTCCCAGATCTTGTGGATTATCCAGGTAACGACACGCATTAAGAAAGTGTATGTAAAGTATTTTGTGTAAATTTGCTTCGGTTTATTCACAGGCAGTACTTAAAAACATGCAATTTTTATGATCCTTCTTATTAAAATGAACATTTGGCACAGTATTAATTAGACTACGCAGACACGGTCAGTTATGCATCATCTGTAATCATTCTAATGGGTTACAATGTTTCATAATTATCATGAAGCAGCTGTGCATTGGTGGTGGAGGGCAGGAAGGGCATATGAAGTAGGAATCGGTGAATGGGTGGTTACCTGTGTTTGGGAGCTGCTGCTGGTTAAGGCAGTGACTGCTGGGGCAGTGGGGGGGAAGGCTGGCGGACGCAGGGTGTGAAACAAATCTAGTTACAAAAACACAAAGTAGTAAAAAACCTTTGAACAACATTACAACAAAATGTCTGATCCAGTGGGTTAACTCTCGAACTGCTCCGACAGATTCAGTTAATATGTTACCGCTAAAAGAGTGATTTAGATGCAAGGATGTACACTACTGGTGAAACGTCTGAAATAATTATGATTGTTTTTGTTTTGTTTTTGAAAGAAGTCTCTTATGCTCATAAAGGCTGCATTTATTTATATCAAAACTACAATACAACTGTAATAATGTGAAATATTATTACAATTTAAAATATCTATTTTAACATTTTAAATTAATGTATTTCTGTGATGCGCAGCTGTATTTTCAGCATCATTCCTCCAGTCTTCAGTGTCACGTGATCTTCAGAAATCAGTATAATATGCTGATCTGCTGCTCGATTATTAATAATTACTCGTATTATCAACAACAAATGTGTTTTTTCTGCTTAATATTTTCTTAGAAACCATGATACATGTTTTACAAGATTCTTTGAAGTTCAAAGAACAGCATTTATTTGAAACAAACTTTTTGTAACATTATAAATGTCTTTACTGTTACTTCTGATTAATGTAATGCATCCTTGCTGAATAAAAAGTATAATTTTTTTAATTACTTACACCGAAGCTTTGAATGGTATTGCATCATGGTTTCCATGGAAAGCAGCAAAAAAATGTTTTACATTGGTAATAATAATCAGAAACGTTTCACGAGCAGCGAATCAGCATATTATACTGATTTCTGAAAATCATGTGACTCTGAAGACTGGAGGAATGATGCTGAAAATTCAGCTTTGATTATCTTTTTACTGTAGTTGTGCAGTCTTGGTGATTATAAAAGGCTTCTTTCAAAACCACCTTTGAACAACATTACAACAAAATGTCTGAGCCAGTGGGTTAACTCTCGAACTGCTCCGACAGATTCAGTTAATATGTTAGAAAAATTGATTTGACTAATTAATTAATTCAAAATGAACAGCTAAAAGAGTGATTTAGATGCAAGGATGTACACTACTGGTGAAAAGTCTGAAATAATTATGATTGTTTTTGTTTTGTTTTTGAAAGAAGTCTCTTATGCTCATAAAGGCTGCATTTATTTATATCAAAACTACAATACAACTGTAATAATGTGAAATATTATTACAATTTAAAATATCTATTTTAACATTTTAAATTAATGTATTTCTGTGATGTGCAGCTGTATTTTCAGCATCATTCCTCCAGTCTTCAGTGTCACGTGATCTTCAGAAATCAGTCTAATATGCTGATTTGCTGCTCAATTATTAATAATTACTCGTATTATCAACAACAAATGTGTTTTTTCTGCTTAATATTTTCTTAGAAACAATGATACATGTTTTACAAGACTCTTCGAAGTTCAAAGAACAGCATTTATTTGAAACAAACTTTTTGTAACATTATAAATGTCTTTACTGTTACTTCTGAATAATGTAATGCATCCTTGCTGAATAAAAAGTATAATTTTTTTAATTACTTACACCGAAGCTTTGAATGGTATTGCATCATGGTTTCCATGGAAAGCAGCAAAAAAATGTTTTACATTGGTAATAATAATCAGAAAATGCACTTCAAGACAGTCAACAAGGAGTCAAAATTAACTTTTTCCAAAGCCATTTCAATGTCCCTCAACATCGCCTACCTGAGCACAATCACAAAAGAAACTGAACGATGCAACCTTTAAACAAGGCACCTGCTCAACACCCATTATGCAATTACTATACTAAACTTACAGAGCACCTAAAGGGACATGGTGGAGTTGGGAGAAAAATTATATTTGAATGCTTTTCCGTTCCATGTCTTAAAAGTACAAAAGCCTATATAAGCGATGAATCCGATTAGAATGCCACTATAATTCAAGTTATGAAAGCCAAAAATATCCCTTGTTTTGGTGTTTTTTTATACCTTTATAGTTGAGTAATATCACACAAGCTGTTTTCCTAAACATTAACACGTGAGCATGATCGCAAATATGATATTAAATTTATCCGACAGTTCAATGAACAAGAAGTTAATATTGAGTGAGTTGCATTTTTTCTGTTTCGCCAATGAAAATAGCTCCAAACCAAGCCGGAGCAGAACATCTGTGCACCTCAGAGAAACCCTGCAGTGTTTTGTTTCTGAAAGAATCATTTGAGTCAATGATTCAATAATCCATTCAAAAAGACAGTCACTTGCTTCATTTCTAAATGAATCAGCCGTTTTGAATGAATCGCTTGAACGATTCAATGACTCATTCACTCATTAAAACAGAGACTTGCTGCCACCTACTGGTTGGTTTTAGTGGCATATTTATTTATCCATGAAAGGCTTGAACCAATCAAGGTACCAACCAGCACAAAGCCACACTCAGCAAAACATTGTTTAATTACGTTATCAAAAAAACAAAATATTGAGATATAATTTTCTGGTCAATATCGCACACCCCTAATTGTAATATGCTACTAAAACCATTCACAATTCCTTATTATACACACATTATAAATGTGTGTGTGTGTGTTTGCATGTATATACATACATACATATATATATATATATAAACTAAGGTAATTACAACCATTTTTCCTAAATTGTAAGACAGTACAGAGACTATATGCCGGACTAAACTCTCTTAGGCAGTGCTAATCTTTTCATAGGAATAAATTACAAATTGCAAACAAATAGTAAACAACTGCAATAACGGCATGCATGCACACACTTCACTTAGATGCTCACTTCAAAGCATTATCAACAACAGTGAAAAATGTTACAATATTCCTTTTAAAATTACCCTGAGAAGGCTGGACAGGTCTTCATCCTTGTGCTTCTGTAACTATAAATATGAATGTGTACATTATAATAAATATGCAACTGTAATAACATAAGTAGCTATAAATATGAATTTGAACAAGTTAAAATAAAGCAATAAGCCCCAAGAAGCCGTGGTTTATTGCTTTTATAAAACGGTTATTCCATATACGTAGTAAGGTTTCACAAAATAAAACAGAGCAAATAAAGTGTAATGATATTAATAAACACAGTATTCTTCCACCAAACAATGTAGCTCCTCAGAAACAGTTGTGGTTGCTACAAAGTGGTTGCCGAGCAACACACAAACCTAAACAAAGCTGTGTGTTACTTTGTAGCGTCATTTACAACAGCTTCGAACGCGGCTCAGCCAATCAGAGCCAAGCACCGGAACTCCCCGCTTTATAACAAGTGACAATACTTTATAAATTACACTGTTAAAAGTTTAATGTGGGGGCAAATAAACTTACCCTTTTCTTGAAATATGTTCTCCATTTATGATATTCTCGGATCACGATTTCGATTCTCCTTTTCCAGTACTTTCCTTCTGTAGCGATCGCCTAGTTAACAGAGAAACACGGCATGAAGAGGCGTGATCTGACCTGAGAAATGAAAGCTGCAAATTCTTCTTCTTCAAAAAAAAAAAATGGGTATGCATGTATTTAGACCTTCAGATCTGAAGAAACAGAAAAATATTTGTATAGTCAAACGACACACCTCTGTTGGCCGATGTACCCCCGAGTCCATATTTCCATCCAAAGGAGTGACAAAATGACACACAGGGTTCTGTCTCTTCTCTACATCTGCAGAAAACAAGGCGTTGCAGAAGGACATCACCAATTGCATTCGTTTCTGAGTAATCTGTGTGTTCAGGGGTTAGACTTACATTGCATATACCAGGCTCTCCAAATAGCGTTGTTGAGGCGAATCTTGTCTCTCCACAGCAGCTTCAGGCCTTTGAAGTTCTTCCATTTCGGTGACACCAACCTTCCACTTATAGAAACAACATAAATGTGTGTTAACTTTTCTGAATCGCAAGACACAGGTGTAGCTGTGGTACTAATTTTAGCGCTGTCAGATCATTGTTCATTGAATTTTTCCATTTTCCACAAACAGGTGGATGTCATTCCCCAAACTTTGCAACATGTACGTGTCCGGAAAACAAAGGATTCATGCATATTCTGAACGGATTATAGCCTATAAAGCATGCAAAGCGCACTCTTTATAATATCACTAAAAATACAATATATGAAAAAATGTAGTCGAATCAGTCACTGCTGATTTGCTTGTACACTAAACATTTAGACCATTTTTAAATGGTCTAACAGCAGAGATTCTTAAATCATTTAGAGCTCCTTGGATTCGACCCACTTTATTTTCCTGATCCATCTGAAATAAAATTATATTACATCATTTGCTTGTGACTTGTATTTGTTGTGTAGGATCCATGTACGACGGACTTGTGATTTGATGACATAATTACGGCTTTGTTTATTCAGAAACAAAGTAATGATATTTCTGTCCTTCATTTGGTTAGTCTAGTTAGTGCTGCTGTTGGAAAACGAGTCGGACAACTTTTGTTGCGTCACGATCATGAGAAACTTAAGTTGTGAAAATCAAAATACACCCTGTATTTCTTACGGCTTCCGTACACAAAAACATCTTTTGTATCCATATTACCCCGTCAACCTGAATTTTACAGTAATATGTATTATTCTTATTATTTTACTATTGTAATATGCATAACAGACATAAATTCCCTTTCATGCATAATTGTGTTCTGAGCTATAAAAGGAAAAGTTGCCATTATGCAAATAATGAAGTGTTTTAAAGCGCACAATAATCCAGGTATGTCAATTCTCAGTTGTGATTATCACCATAACCGCCTGGACTTGGTTTGCGTCTATTGCATCGTTTCATTTCTTGTTGTGTCGCATAACTACTGCACCACGTCAGTCTTTACATTTCACTCAAGAGTCACTAACTGGTGAAATTAAACGCTTTCAGACTCATCTGAAGTTGCAACAGATTATTCTGGAATATCGCTGTTTATAGGCAAAATGTTTAACTCTGGAATGATAATAAACCAAAAGTGTATAATAATATAATTATTCAAATGTGAATAATTTAACCTGATCTTTTAAAATCAAACTTTTTACTCTAAAATCAAAGCATTCACAAATGAATCATCATGAAAAGTGTTTTGCTCTGTGTGTAATTTATTTACAAATGTTTCCCATTGCTGCTGGTATGAAGCCGTTTGGTCCATTTCTGGATTGAGCAATAAAGTATATCAGTTCTCTAGCTGTTTTACATAAAGAATACTGCAATGAGATACTCTACACACAAAATAAATATCTTTATGTGAATTCTATTAATCAAATCATTAATGACTATAAGTAGGGATGCATGATATTGGATTTTGCCGATATGCCGATATTTTTCAACTTATTTTGGCCGATATACCGATATTTTTCAACTCATTTTGGCCGATATACCGATATTTTTCAACTCATTTTGGCCGATAGCCGATATTTTTCAACTCATTTTGGCCGATATACCGATATTTTTCAACTCATTTTGGCCGATATACCGATATTTTTCAACTCATTTTGCCGATAGCCGATATTTTTCAACTCATTTTGGCCGATAGCCGATATTTTTCAACTCATTTTGGCCGATAGCCGATATTTTTCAACTCATTTTGGCCGATAGCCGATATTTTTCAACTCATTTTGGCCGATAGCCGATATTTTTCAACTCATTTTGGCCGATAGCCGATATTTTTCAACTCATTTTGGCCGATAGCCATACCGATATATTTCTTTTTGTTTGGAAACAACACCAAGTCTCTCCTGTACAGAGATTATAAACAAATTATTTTTCATTTTGGTTACATTTTAAACAAAAACTTACTTTTGAGAATTAAATAAAACAATTATGTTCTTTTATAACGAGAGTACATTAAAAGCTTTGAAAATAACTGTAAAGCAATCCTTAACATTTTATTTGAATATTTAACATTTGTAGATGGTCTGAAGCAAACAAGTTGTACAAATTCTGAAAATCTTTTAGAGCTCCTTGTGTTTAAGTTTTCTTAATAAGTACATATTACACATTAATGAATAAATCTGTATATATATATATATATATTATTTCATTTACAAATGTCATGTTTGTGATTTTTATTGGTGTAAGCTTGCCATTATCGGCAGACTTCGATAACGCTCTGACAATATCGTGTATCCCTAACTATAAGAAAGGAAACTATCGGTATATCCATATATCGGCCAAAATGAGTTTAAAAATATCGGCATATCGGATATCGGCAAAATCTAATATCATGCATCCCTACTTATAGTCATTAATGATTTGACAGATTTTGCCAAACGCTCTATGTTGCTATACAACCAAACAAGAAAATAATGAGACCGTAGTCCATGCAACTAGCTTCACAACTTGATTCAGACAAAACTACACAAGAGCAAGATCTGATTAAAGTAGTGAGTGAGTAGAGTCATGCACTTCCTGCAAGGCGGAACAGAACGGTGCATTTGGGTCTGAATTGCGAAATTCTAACATGAAGATAGAAATCTAAACACAAAGAGATGGCCACAGAATTTTGGTCTTTTTATTATAGTTCCTCAGTTTAAGTGTGAAACAGATGACGGTGAATGCATCATTTAAAGAAAACAAACAGGAGTCTGTCATGCTTGGAAATAAAACAACAACCACATCCACAACCGTTAACACAAATAATAAAAAATAAAAAAATAGGCACGTTTATAATCTGGGCAAGCACTGAACTTGAACACTTTATTTATTTGAGCTCAAGTTAAAATCTGCAAATGGTGCTTTACGAAACCCATTTCTTCAACATTCAGTCGGAACGATCTTATTTCTGTGCTCTATATTCTCTACCACGCTGAAAACTGAATATATTAAAAGTACATTTGTAATTTTGTCACACCCCAAGACTATTTAAGTGAACTTCACACAGTTGCGGTCAGAATGGACCTGAAAAAAAAAAAGTTAATCATTTTAATAAAAGATTATTTGGTCTTGTGGACTATATGTAAACATTTGTTATGCGAGAACTAAAAAAAAAAGCTATTTTTGAATTACTCTTATTTCATTAAAACGACTACTACTATCGTGTGTGTGTGTGTTTAGAAGAATTTCTGTGTAAACAACAGCTTTCAAACCAAGAGATATTTTAAAAAGTGGTCCATGTGACTTTAGGGTGAAAGCACTAGGGAAGCTAATGAATAAATCTGTATATATATATATATATATATATATATATATAAATAATTTAATTTACAAGCGTCTAATTTTTTTTCATGTAAGCTATACCTTCTGACCTTTAAATCAAACCATACTCGTGATTTTATGACATCAACTACTGCTTTATTTAATCAGAAACACAATCTTAATGTTATTTGTGTATTTTACATTCATTTTATTACAAGTAGGCCAACAGCGCCCCCTAAGTAAATAAAAAGCCTTACCGGACGGACATATCGGCATCATTTTTCATATCGGGCCGATACCAATATTTGCATTTTATGCCATTATCGGCAGACTTCGATAACGCTCTGACAATATCGTGTATCCCTAACTATAAGAAAGGAAACTATCGGTATATCCATATATCGGCCAAAATGAGTTTAAAAATATCGGCATATCGGATATCGGCAAAATCTAATATCATGCATCCCTACTTATAGTCATTAATGATTTGACAGATTTTGCCAAACGCTCTATGTTGCTATACAACCAAACAAGAAAATAATGAGACCGTAGTCCATGCAACTAGCTTCACAACTTGATTCAGACAAAACTACACAAGAGCAAGATCTGATTAAAGTAGTGAGTGAGTAGAGTCATGCACTTCCCGCAAGGCGGAACAGAACGGTGCATTTGGGTCTGAATTGTGAAATTCTAACATGAAGATAGAAATCTAAACACAAAGAGATGGCCACAGAATTTTGGTCTTTTTATTATAGTTCCTCAGTTTAAGTGTGAAACAGATGACGGTGAATGCATCATTTAAAGAAAACAAACAGGAGTCTGTCATGCTTGGAAATAAAACAACAACCACATCCACAACCGTTAACACAAATAATAAAAAATAAAAAAATAGGCACGTTTATAATCTGGGCAAGCACTGAACTTGAACACTTTATTTATTTGAGCTCAAGTTAAAATCTGCAAATGGTGCTTTACGAAACCCATTTCTTCAACATTCAGTCGGAACGATCTTATTTCTGTGCTCTATATTCTCTACCACGCTGAAAACTGAATATATTAAAAGTACATTTGTAATTTTGTCACACCCCAAGACTATTTAAGTGAACTTCACACAGTTGCGGTCAGAATGGACCTGAAAAAAAAAAAGTTAATCATTTTAATAAAAGATTATTTGGTCTTGTGGACTATATGTAAACATTTGTTATGCGAGAACTAAAAAAAAAAGCTATTTTTGAATTACTCTTATTTCATTAAAACGACTACTACTATCGTGTGTGTGTGTGTGTTTAGAAGAATTTCTGTGTAAACAACAGCTTTCAAACCAAGAGATATTTTAAAAAGTGGTCCATGTGACTTTAGGGTGAAAGCACTAGGGAAGCTACAATTCTCGGTATAACACTGAACCGTTCCGCATGACATTCAGTTCAACCCGTGCTTTTTTGGGGGGGGTTTGCGGTTAAATAATTTCCATGCGTTTTCTGTTTAGAAGAATTTCTGTGTAAACAACAGCTTTCAAACCAAGAGATATTTTAAAAAGTGGTCCATGTGACTTTAGGGTGAAAGCACTAGGGAAGCCACAATTCTCGGTATGACACTGAACCGTTCCGCACGACATTCAGTTCAACCCGTGCTTTTTTTGGGGGGTTTTGCGGTTAAATAATTTCCATGCGTTTTCTTTGTCACTGAACTGGCTCCGCTCGTGTGTCTGTGAAACCTGCTGCCCGTTTTTCCTCCACAACATCAGCCCAGTGTTTGAAATAACTTCCTTTTGTGATCTAACCCGGCTTCTTTCATCACAGAACGAGGAAGAAAACATACCGTAATAAAGGCAATGTCGATTAGCAATGCACTTAATCGTTATTAAAAATACCCGAGCTGGCTTGAAGAGCACAGATACTCTGCAGTCTTCACGTTTCATCATTCAGAATAGGGCTGGACAATAATTCAATATCAATATGTATCGCGATATAATTCTTTTCAATAACGGTGATATGATTTTTAAACACATTTCCGATATTTCGATACACATTACCAGTGTTTCCCATACACTGATGTATTTGTGGCGTTTGACTTCGTTGAATAAACATGAGCGCTGCACGTTTCACAATCATAACACGCGCGGGTGTTTTATATGAATGTATCTCTGAAGGGAACCGACTGTCTTCAGAATAGTTTAGATGGCATGTTTATCTGATAAAGTAGCGTTCATGAGCGGAGCTGCTGTGTTTACAGCCGTTACTGGAGAAACCGCTGTTTCTGCCGCTCTCACAGCGCCTCCTGCTGGCAGACAAGCAGTTCGCATTTTTCGATAAGCCCGTCTCCAGCAACATGCTTTTGTTGTAGCTCTTTATTTCTGCAGCGGCTCAGAGCACTTTTCATATTCTTTATCCTGGCTGAAGCACATTTGTTTCAATCTATAACAATAATCAGCCGTCCTACATTACAGTCAAAGGTTTTTGAACAGTAAGATTTTTAATGTTTTTTGTTTTTTTTAAGAATTCTCTTCTGCTCACCAAGCCTGCATTTATTTGATCCAAAATGCACCAAAAGCAGTAACATTTTGAAATATTTTTACTATTTAAAATAACTGCTTTCTATTTGAATATATTTTAAAATGTAATTTATTCATGTGATCAAAGCTAAATTTT